TAAGGGTGGGGTGGGGATTGGAATGTCCTCCAGAGGTCCCTTCTGATCATCATACGATGATCTCTGGCCTCCAGGGATTGCAACCGGGGCTCTCGGACCAAACCAGAGAAGCTGCAGCTCCTCTGGGGGTCCCAAGGGAAGGAACAAATCATGGCCCAAACCCACTGTGGTGGGACACAAACAGCACGGCAGCCCTGCTCCATGAACCATCATATTTAATAGTTGTTGCCATCACAGCAGATCCAGCTGAAGCACAGAGACCGCTGGCTGCAGGGACCAGGAGAGCTCTTCTACCTCCCTGGTGCTTCGCATGGCTCCCTGCAGGCTTTAGCCCTTCCCTGCCCCGCTTCTGGCAGGGACCCAGCTCTGCGCAGGGGCTGAGCCCACCGCCCTGGGGTGGCCCAGCCCTGCTGCTGCCTCTGCCACCTCCAGCTGGGGGAAGAGAGGAAAAGGGGCAGAGAAAGTCTCCCCTCCCAAGGATGTAGTTACTGCAGGGAGATACAGGGCAGACTTTTCTCTCTCCCCAGGGCACGGATACAAGAGGGGTAGGGATGGGGGCAGAGGCCAGGGTGAGCTGTCTCAGCTCATCCTGCTGCCGGCACGCCTCTGGCAGAGGAGCTACTGGGTCTCCCTCTGTCATCCCTGCCCAGCAGCCTTGTCCCCAGGGCCTGGGAGGGAGGCGATGCCCGCCCAGGGCAAGCTCATCTCCCAGGCGTGAGCCAGCACATGGGTCTTGTTTGCTGTAGCTGCTGCGTCGTCATACTGCGAGAGTCCGACTCTGCCACTGCATTAAAAGTCACCCCAGAGGGATGTGACGGGAAGCTGGGCCATGGTCACAAGGAGATGCTGTCACCCCAGCCCGCAGCAGGAAAGGGCCTGAGCATGCTGCTGCCCACCCCTCTGCTGCTCACAGGCAGGGCACCCAGCAGGTGCTTCTCCAATAGAATAAACTAAAGAGTATTTTGTACAATAAACACAATTTGTCCAGCCCTCCCCCCTCCCATCCCCCGCCGCCCCAGCCCGAGGAAGGGGAGTCATGAAAAGAGGCGGCACTCTGTGCCCCGGGGAGCCCTGCCCCGGGTCCGCTCCTCCTCCAGGCTCAAAGCAGCTCTTGTCCATGCACGACACGGGGAAGGGGCGAGATTGCAGCCCTGACTGTGCAGGAGGTGCCTGTGCCAGCCCCTACTCCAGGTAGATGTCCTCTGTGGGGCACGTGTACTCCACATACTCCTTGTAGAATTGCTGAAAAGCCCTCCTGCAACACAGCACCGGGCAAAGCTGAGCAGCGCCCTCCCTGCGAGGCATTTACAGAGCCCTGCTTCCCTTCTCACCCTCGCTCCCTACCCTGCAGCCAGTTTGACCGTCCAGCCCCTGGCCCCTCCTGCGTTAGCACCCAGAGCTGCCATCAGAGCGGCAGGGACTCCATCCTTGCTCTAATCCCCTGCATGGTGCATGACTTTCAGCCATCTGCCTGCAAGGCCTTGCATTGGGACTTGTTCCAGGGCTGTCAGAAATATGCTGCCTGTAGCCCTGTCAGCCCTGGCTCTTGCCCCAAGCCTCTCACTCAAGGGGAGAGGTGCCAGCCTGGGGCCAGGTCCAAGCCCCACACATATGGGAAGATGGCAGGCTTCAGCCTGGCTGCCTCATTCCTCCTCCCCTTCGGGAGCAAGGGCCTCCCTCCTTGCCCAGGACTCACCCTACAGACTCTGCCAGTGGCTTCGTGGACTCCTCCGAGACGAAGACATGACAGGCGAATCTGTGGTCAGCAGGGTGCTTGGTAATGAACCCAAAATATCTGAGGGCAGAGAGAGTGGGTGTGACTGGACCAGCAGACAAGCAGGCACAGGTACCGCAGCATCCCCGAAGTGTACCCAGCCTTGAGCACAAGGGTTTGGGACCTGCACCCCCTGCAAACCCTAGTGGCCACCAGCTGCCATGGCCCCTGCCCAGAGCTGGGATGTAATTCCTGTCCAAAGGCTGCTTTTGCATGAAGCTGCAGCGCTGGGCTCACAGGAGACACAGAGCCCTCAAGAGCGGGGCACTGGGAAGCCATCCCTTCCCAGCCCCACTCGTGCTGCTCCCATGGAGTGGGAAGGCAGCAAAGCCTCTGTACCGAGCTGCTGGCATTGAGAGCCGCCCCACACCTCCTTACTACTCACTTGTTGTTCTTTGGATGGTACCCACAAAAAGAAATGTTCTTCAGCTGGAAAAAATGGCTACACTTGTTTACCTGGGGAAGAGAGAGACAAACTGTCAAAGGTTTCCTCCCCTCCACCCTGCAGGGCAGCCAGTCTCTGGCCCCTAGAAATATGCACTTGGATTCAGCAGTGAAATGAATCAGAGCCTGATCCTGGGCTGCTACCAGCAGTGCTTTCAGGATGGCCCCAAGCACGTGCACACAGGGTGCTCTTCCAGAGAGCCCTGCTGGCTCCCACCCTGGCTGCCCCTACCTCTCGCAGCTCCTGCAGGGTTTCCCTGGAGGCCCCGGGTTAGGCTGTACTCAGACTAGGGTCAGTGCTGCTGTTTGCCCAGTGCACGCAGCCCTTCTCCCTCGCTAAAAAGGCTCTCGGAAATACCAGCAGATAGAAGGTGAATGGATAACTTAGAACTAAATAAGTCATTCAAGCCTGGGTGTTCAAAAGGTCCCAGCCAGAAATGACAACTTATTTATACAAGTTTAAAGAGCAACCAAGTTGATGGCATCCTCTAGAGGCAGGACTTGTAGAAACCCCAGCCCAGCTCCCTACCACAGCATCCACAGCCGCAAACTACTACCCCCCAGCTGCAGGGGAGGTTTCCCAAAGGCTTGCTGCAAAGCCCTCGCTTGCCTCTGCCCAGCATCTCACCATGCTTTGCTGGGCTACTTATGCCGAACGCTAATCAGCACCCTGCCATAGCCAGCTAAAGAGATTACAGGGCAGATCTGGAGGACACTACTCAAAATAGTAGCAGAAAGGTTTAGGAGCAGCTGACAGATTACCAGCACGGCTCAGCTCACAGCATCCCACTGCAGCGACGTGCTTGGCAGCTGCAAGGGCATCAGCCAGCAGTATGGCCCAAAGCTGGGAGCCCATGGGACGGTGAGGGACCCTGAGGTGGGCCTACAACCCCACTGATGGTGTTTCTCAGACCCTTAGACAGGTGGAGATCCTCCATTTTCATATGCAAACATGACCTGTAGCACAGGGGGCACAAGCCAGCAGCTGGGGAAGGGATGAGATGAGCAGGGAGTGAGGTGCTACCTTGCTGTGCTCCTTGGAGTCATCGGCTTTCACAGCAATCTTGACCCCACGCACGCTGATCTCCAGGACACAGCTGGAGGGTGGGTTAAAGTGCACAGTGAGGCGGCGCGTGGTGGCAATCTGGGGGAGAAGACAGACAGACAAAGCCCTGGCACTCGTGAACAGTGGTGATGGCTCACCCTTTCCCTTTGCTTCCTTTCTCCACTGAGGCTCTGCCTTGCTGCCAGAAGGAGCAGGCACTCCTGCTCCCAGGGATGGGGTGGGACACTACCTTCTGCATGGCCGCGCACAGCACATCGTTGCCCTTGTGATAGGGAACCTGCACGGAACCGAGGAACTTCACCCGAAACTGGTCCACCCAGTCGCTGCTTTTGGCCAGAGCTGGAAGAGGGAACACACAGCAGGGATTGTCTTCAGTGACCGGGAATGTGGGTTGAGGTCCACCTCCCCGCTCCATATTCCCACCCCTGCATGTTTCCCTGCCCAGGGAAGGCTTCCTGCAGCACCAGCTCCCACCATTGCACCAGAAGCTGCCCATCACTCCCTGCCGGATGCCCAGCTTGGTGTTCCCTCCATCCCCCTGGCCCAGCACCAGGATCTGCTCAGCAGACAGGAGGTGGACACAAGATGGGGGACATCAGCAGGCTACGCGCAGAGGCTCGGTACCTGTTACATGGTCTGGGTCCTTGGTGACTTCAATAGCATAGTAGGCAGGAAAAATGCCCCGGTCACCCGTCCGCATGTTGTAGGCCTCGTACCAATAATCTTCTGCCTGCACCTCCACCAGCAAAGGATCGTCCACCTCCAGCTCCAGTTCATCCGCATGACGAGGCACAAACCTGGGCAGGGAGGCACTAGCACCTGGCTGGCCAGCAGTGCTGGTGGCCTTCTTACCGGCACACTGCTGGGGCAAGGGGCAACACAAAACCCACCACTGGCCCAAGCAGGCGGCACCCTGGCAGGTGTAATTAAAATTGTCCCTGCTCACTGCAAGGGGGTTGGGCTAGATGACCTCTAAAGGTCCCTTCCAACCCAAAGCATTCTATGATTCTATGATTAGCCATGGGGACCCAAGATGCTGAATAAAGCATCTAAGCAGGTTTAAGCTCAAAAAGCAGCAGCACCCAGGCACCTAAGGCAAGGGTATCCCTATGGCACCACCCATGCTGCTCCCCGGAGGTCCCGGCTGCCCTCAGAGATCTTGCCCCTGCAGCAGCCTGGGCAGATGTCGCTCCTGGGCAGGACATGAGCTATGGGCAGTGCTTTGGTCCCCGGGGCTTCCCAAAAGCTGGAAACACTGGGGTTTGGGCTGGCCCCACTGTGGTGGGAGGGCAGGACTGGCTTTGCCCCATGAGAGGCTGGGGACACCGCTTGCGCCTGCGAGCTCACCTAAAGACGGCACGGTGAGTCTGCTCCTGCTCCTCCCCGTTGATCATGCAGGAGAACAACCCAAAGGACTCGGCACCTGGGGACGAAGGCAGAGGGGGGACATCTCAGCGTTGAGGGGTCAGCACCACAACCAAGGGATGGACACAAAGCCAAACAGGCTGCTGATGCTCCTGGGGTATGGCTGGGCCGAGACGAAGGCATGCGGTGCCACACGAGAGAAAAGCACGGCTGGAGC